TCAGGTCCTGAAGGTGGATGTTACTGGAGAAAACTGGTCCTAGACAGCTTAAATAATTCAAACAAGGTCACACAGTAGTAGGAGGCAGAAGCTGGCTTATGATTCAAGCCTGACTACAAACAAATGTGAGAATCTGCAAATGTGAGAATAAGAAAGCCAATCGAGAAGGGAATCACCCAGTCTTTTGGAAGGAATTGGGAGAGGGGTTCCTCCATCACTCCACAATGATAGATTCTTCTAGGTGCCCTGGCCCAGATAAAAGCTCTCAGGGATCTGTTTGATTTTTTTCCTTCTATATTATCAAGCTCTAAAACTCTTTGGAGTAACAGACCTCTGTGAAAATCTGATGAAAGCTTTTCATTCAGTCAGATATTCATTCAATAAACATCTCTGAGCTACCAGGAAGTATTCTGCGAGCTGGGAATACAATGGTGGACAAAGTATTCAGGGTCCCTAGCCTTCTGGAAAGTAAAATCTGCCTATGGACCTTCTCCATGGAAAAAGGCACTTTTGCCTGAATGTTTATATAGTTTCAATCAGCAGAACCTCAGTCATCTTGGAGCCTATCCTTGGACAAGAGCCCCTACATATTTCATAAGGTTCCTTCAATTGGACTTCAATTTTGTGTTTAGTTTCATATCAGGACTTCTTGACAAAGTCAGTCTTTTTCCTTTTAGTTCTTGGTTTTATCCTGTGGTATTCATCTATTCAATCAACTAATTCATTCATTCAACAAACACTTGAACACCTGTTTAATGCCAGGCACTTGGTTAGGCACTGAGGGAAGCCACATTTCCTACCAATGAAAAGCCTTAGTGAAAGAGATGCACAAAAAATTATGATAAAATGTCAAATACCATAATAGATAGATGATACCATAATATAAAAAAACAACTACTCTCTTCTGAATAACGTCTAAATGAGTCAAACATCCTGCTTGTGCTCTCTCTCTCGCTGTGTCTCTCTCTGTCAAATAAATAAATAAATAAAATCTTTAAAAAAAAAAAAAAGAACCTCAGAGCTGGAAGGGAAAACAGAAAACACTTAAGAGGGAACCCACATAGTGTCACTGCGTTCACTGAATGTATCTAGTCCTTACTACAGCAGAAGTGACTAAGGCCTTGGGATATGCCCAAGGTAACCAGGCTGGGGAGGTCAGAGACAGAACCCATCCCTAAGTGTTCCGACGCCCAACCCACAGTCCTCCTTGATCTCACCTTTCAATCCCATCTGACTAGCCTGGACCATGGCTTGGAATGTCTGTGTCTTGTTCCTGTCTGGACCATCTCCGAAGTTCAAGGTGGTCAGTAAGCCCACGACTTGAGGCCCACGCCACTTCCCTGTGACTGTCCCATTCACGGGGCACAGGGTCAGCTGGCCAAAAGATCTCAAAAAAGAGACCCAGTCCTGTGTGCAAAAGAAAGGTGGGAGAGAGGTGAGGGATTAGCAGCATGAGCAGGCCTGTGTGAAAAGGATGAAGAAGGTACTCACCTGAGGGATGTCAGGGCTGCGCAAGCCAGTCCTGTGGGTGAGGAGGAAGCTGCCAAGGCCCAAGCCTGAAAGCCCAAGAAGCAGCAGGATCAAAGTGGCACAGACCAGAGGTGGGTGGTGGGCCAGACAGAGATGCAGGTTGTGCCCTGCCTGGCAGCTGCCCATGGAGAGGAGAGGGGTCCGGGCCTCCACGGAGAGCCTGCTGGAGGACAGGAAGGAAGAACTGGACAAGAGCCTGCCGGTCAGAAGGCACTTACCCATTTTATTCAAAGGGAAGTTAAAGTACTGAAAAGACAAGGGACTTGCCCAAGGCCACACAGCCAGTTAGCTGCAGAGCCAGAACAAGAATCCAGGGCAAGTGTTCATCCCCATGCACCACTCAATAAATGTTTGCTGCATTTCATTTCTGAAGTAATCAAGGCAGAAGCGAAGCAGAGCACACTGTGCTGGAAAGAGGAACCCAAAAGGAGAATTCTTAAGGGGAGAAATTCAGGAAGCAGCTGTTCTGGGGCTAGGGTTTGGCTGAAGAATGGTTCCATCCGATAGCCTAGACAAAGGAAATGTCTGATGAAAAGAACTCCACTCTGGAGCAAAAACGGTTCAATCTGTATCCTCCTCTGCTACTCACTGGCTATGTGAGGAAAATCAGTTAACCTTTGGGAGCTTACGGATCCGTGAAAGAATGCCAAATAATGAGGACTAAAATGTGACAGAGAAAGCAGTTTTGCATAGTACTCGGCCCTGCAGGAACTCAACAATGTCCATTTCCTTTCCATTTCACTGTTTCATACTGATCTTTAAAACCAGGTGAAGGAAGGCAATAAATCCTGTGGTGGAAACTGAGGTTCGGGGACTTTCACAGAGGCGTGGCAGGGCCAAGGTCTGAAACCCGTCTTCTCCCAGGTAGAGTTCCTTCTCCCAAGCGAGAAGCGACAGCCCGATGAAAAGGAACCTCTGGAAGACGGGATAAACATATGGGGTGGGGAGAGAAGGGGGGCTCCAGGGAAACGCAGGTGTCACAGATGCCCAGTCCCTGCCCTGCCTCCCGTCCCGGCACATCTGGAAAGGGGGAGAAAGCACGAAGGGGGAGGGCAGAGCCCGAGTTCTGCGGCTGGCGGTGCCCCTGGGCCTCCCCTCCCCCCGCAAAGCCCCTCCTGCAGGAACTCAACACCCGCAACATCCCTTCCCGGTCCTGCGGCGTCTGGTCCGCCTGCCGCTCCCCCTCACCGCTCGGAGCCGGGCGGAGGCCGGCGCCCCCCGCGACGTCACGCGTGGAGCAGCGAAGGGGCGGGGTCCGTGCTCCCCCCACCAACCCCCACCCACACGGTGGGGATTCGCATGCGCGGTGTCTACGCGGGCAGCAGCCCGGCCCCTCCCAGGCCGGCTGGGGGCGTACCAAGAAGGAACACAGTGAAGGGGCAACGGAGAAGAAAGTACTCCGCGGTAGGTGAGTAAGAGGGAGAGAAGGCAAAGGAGCTGATTGTGGGGACGTTGTTAGAACTGTAAAGCCTCACTCCGGAGACACTGTGGGGCGTTTCAACGAGAATCGCGTCGCAGGCGTTTTTCTGTTGCTCGTCCCCCTCCCGCGCCAATCGCACAGCCCGGCCGCGCCCAGGTTCCGGATCTGAGTTTGGGGTCCGCCCGGGGGCGGGACTCCAGCCCTGAGATTCTGACCTTCCGGACTCTTTGGGCTCTGCTCTTCCCTGCAGGCCCAACGTCTTGGCCCCTGGTTTTAGTGAGTCCTTAATGCATAGGATCCTCCAGCTGCCAGACTGCTCAGTAGAGACCATCTCGTTTCATTTCTGCCCGTATTTTAGAGATGAGAACACCGAAGTCCCCCTTACCTGAAATAGGACGCATGGAGCCAGGAAACCGGGGTTCAAATCCTAACTTTGTGCCTGCCTCTGCACAAGACATAACCGTGCTCTTTCGGGGAGCTGAGTTTGCTAAAGGGGTTCAACCCACCTCCCTCACTGGTTGGATGGGAAGCTTAAGAAACAAAGTGTGGGAAAACATGGGCCCAGTGTGCACTGAGCACGAAACCGCGCTGGACAAAAATGCTCTTGAAACAAAATCTTAGTACTCAACTCTACTGAGGCTCCGTTAAGACAGAGACAAGGTCATTCCTGTACCACCCGCTCCCCAAAAGTTTATAGCCCCAAATCCTTTCCCATGTGGTAAAATGATACTCAACAAGGGTGCCAGGACCATTCCATGAAGTAAATCTACTCTTTTCAACAAACAGTATTGGGAAACCTGGATATTCACCTGTGAAAGAATGAAGTTAAACCTTTACCTTATACACCATATACATTAGTTAATTCATAATGCACCAAAGAACTACATGTAAGAGCTGAAAGTATAAAACACTTAGAAGAAAACAGGAAAGCTTCATGACATTGGATTTGGCAATGATTTCTTGGTATGACACCCAAAGCACAGACAGCAAAGAAAAAAGGTAAGTTGGACTACATCAAAATTTAAAATTTCTGTGCCTCAAAGTACGCAGCAGAGTGAAAACGCAACCCATGGAATGGGAGGAAATATTTGCCAAGCATGTATCTGCTAAAGAGTAAGTAATATATAGAATATGTAAAGAACTCTTACAGTATAACACAGCAACAAAAATCCTTGTTAAAAAATAGGCAAAGGAATTGAAGGTATTTCTCCGAAGATACACAAATGGCCAATAGGCACATGAAGAGAAACTCAACATTACTAATCATTAGGGAAATGCAAATGAAAACCACAATTAGATACATCTCACAGCTATTGGATGGCTACTATTAAAAAAAAAAGGAAAGTGTTAACAAGGCTGTGGAGAAATTAGAACCTTTTGCCTTGTGGGTGGGAACTTAAAATGGTACAACCACTAGGGAAAACAGAACAGTGGCTCTTCAGAAAATTAAAACTAGAATTATGAGAGGCACCTGGCTGGCTCAGTTGGTGGAGTGTGTGATTCCTGATCTTGGGGTTGTGAGTTTGAGTCCCACACTGGGTGTAGAGGTTACATTTTAAAAAAAATCCTAAAAAAAAACAGAATTACCATACTATCCAGCAATTCCACTTTGGGGTATATACCCCAAAGAATTGAAAGCAAAATCTCTAAAAAATATTTGTATACCCATGTTCATAGCAGCATTATTCACAAGAGCTAAAAGGTGGAAGCAACCCAAGGGTCCATCAACAGATGAATGGATAGACAAAATATGGTATATACATACAATGAAATATTATTCAGCCTTTAAAAGGAAGGAAATTCTTTTTCTTTTTAAGATTTTATTTATTTATTTGACACAGAGAGAGATCACAAGCGGGGGGGGTGGGGGGGCAGAGGGAGAGGGAGAAGCAGGCTCTCGGGCAGAGAAGGGAGCCCAATGTGGGGCTGGATTCCAGGACCCCAGGATCATGACCTGAGCCACCCAGGTGCCCCTAAAAGGAAGGAAATTCTGATACACACTATAACATGGATGAACCTTGAGGACATTTTGCTAAGTGAAATAAGCCAATCACAAAAAGAGAAATACTATAAGATTTCACTGATAAGAGGTATAGAGTAGTCAAATTCATAGAGACAGAAAGTAGAATGGTGGCTGCCAGGGGGTGGGGGATGTGGGGACAGGAATGGGGAGTTACTGTTGTTTAATGGGTACAGAGTTTCAGTTTTGCAAGATGAAAAGAATTCTGGAGATGAATGATGGTAATGGTTGCACAGGTGAATGTAATTAACACTACTGAATTTCTACACTTAAAAATGTGGGCGCCTGGGTGGCTCAGTCATTAAACGGCTGTCTTCAGCTCAGGTCATGATCCCAGGGTCCTGGGATCGAGCCCACATCGGGCTCTCTGCTCCGCGGGAAGCCTGCTTCTTCTACTCCCCCTGCTTGTGTTCCCTCTCCCGCTGTCTTTTTCTCTGTCAAATAAATAAATAAAATCTTTAAAAAAAAATGTACACATAAAAATTGTTAAAATGGTAAATCTTTATGTTATGTATATTTTGTCACAATTAAAAATAACAATCATTAAAAAAAAAAAACAAACCCTGGTGTGTGTTGGGGGGGGAATTTACCGCACAGTCTCCTAGAGTATAGTGGCTGATGAATGCCGTTGACTGACTTAATTGAAATTCCAAGCATAGGAAGTATTTTCTTCTCAAAGGAAAAATAAGTGTGGCTGACAGAAAGTTTTGAAACCTAAGAATTGGAAGGCACTCAGTAACTGAACAAGTTCAACAATAACCATCCCCACCCCCACTTTATTTTCCAGATGCTAAACTGATGTCTTGGAGAGGTTAAGGGACTTGCCCCAAGTCTCCCAGCCAGTTAAGCCTCATCCAGAACTAAAGCCTAAGTGTCCCAACACTGAATCTAGTCCTTTCCAACCAGATCCTCCTTGCTCAGTCCTGCCAAGAGATCTCTCCTGAAAACCTGCAAAAGTCTCTGCCCATCCAACTCTCAGTCATACCTGGCCTAGTCTGAGCCAGTGAGGTCACTTTTTCCCTAGTCTTAGTCTTGTCTACCCAGCCAGCACCTCAGTTCCTGAAATAGTATGCTCCACAAGCCCCAGGTCTTTTCATAGTTTGAGCACAGTATTTACTCAATAAATATTTGTTGTTTAATGTATTGAAAATGACTTCTTACAGACCAGTTTGCCAGGGGAACTTAGCAATTTTCAGTTTCATTTTAAAGTTGGGAGCACATTACCCATGCTGAATGTTTGTGAAATTTAGGTTAAAAGGTAAAAGAAAGTTTATTTGGTCAACAGTTATTTTTTAGTGCTACTAAAAATTGCACTAAATTTTAGGACTACTATGGTCCAGGCACAAAATTAATATCCATATAGCAAAAGCTTTGTCAATGTTTCCACTTAATGACAAGTCTAATTTGTAGGGCAAGATAAGGCATGAAAATGCCCAGTGTAGTACTGGTACACAATAGGAAGTCAACAAATGTGAGTTTCCTTTCATTATTCTTGTACTACAGAGTAATTAGGCATATTTGGAGAGCAGTTCTTGTAAATGACCACAATTGATATTTACTTATGTAGCCCAATGAACAAATTCTACGGACCACTAGAGACAAACTGGTTAGAGCAAGGAACTGCCTGAAGGCCTGGAAATCAGGGTAAATGGATGTAAACAAAAGTCTTATATAGAAAAAAAAAAGTTGGGGTGGGGAGGAGCACAAGAGGACACAAAATTGTTGGTGCATTGTAATCTGCCAGGATTGTACCAATGTTCTGATTTGGTAATCCACTCATCAGGTCCTGAAGGTGGATGTTACTGGAGAAAACTGGTCCTAGACAGCTTAAATAATTCAAACAAGGTCACACAGTA